CAGGCAGACTCCTGCACTGAGGAGGCTGATAGGCATCTGAGGTGCAGGACCAGGTGGAGTCAGGTCCTGCTCGCTGCCCATGGAAACCAGCCGCGCTGCCCTGGGGAACCGCTGCTCCGGGAGTCGGCACGGGGCATCTTAGCAGCCACAGCTCCTGGGAGACAGGCACACCCAGGCCCAGCCCTGGGATTCAGGTACACGTTGCCAACACATACAAAGGTGCAAGAGTGGGTGTAGGCAGCAGCTGGCCCAAGCCGCCCACCCCTCATCCCCAGCAGGGGAGAGTGAAGGCTGGGATGGAATGGAGGCTGCCCATCAGCTGGCCTCGAGATGAGACTGCCCTGGACTGCTGGGTGGCGAGGAACACTCACAGGCTCCTGTGAGTAGAGAGGAAGGCGGGGGTGGCGTGCTGGCTCCAAAGAGGGGACCAGGAGCCCAGAGGTGCAGAACCCCCCTCGAGCTGGAGAAGGCCAGGGGCAGGTGGTCCCTGGAATTTCTAGGAGGACACCCTGTGACCAGCACTGTGCTCTGTAGGCCCTGGGTCTGTGGCCTTGGCTGCAGCCCCACAGGAAGCTCGCCACACCAAACTCCAGAGAGGTCGGGCCACGGGCAGGCATGCTGGCCAGGGCTTCAAGGTGTCCTTCAAGCTGGGCACGGACAGGTGCCTGAGCTTCGTGCCACCTACTCCTCTCTCACCCTTGAGGTGCCAACACCAGGACACCACTCAGGCTGATCTGGAGGGGAGACTAGAGCTGCGTCACTCCCCCCCATCAGGAGAGAAGGATAAGTGAAGGCAAGACAGAGGCAGGTGAGCAGGGCGGACGGACGCAGCTGGCGACACTGGCCCGTGGGCCTCGCCTGGCGCTGCAGGCTCCAGAGACCAAGAGGAATGAGCTGGAGGGACCGTCCAGTGGGAGCCTCCAGGGCCGGGTGGGGGCGGGGCCACTCTCCCAAAGACAAGGATTCAGGGTCCTCAAGGGTCATCGTGGTCCTGTGAACAAAGGTGTCTGAAGGAGCCATACCCAGGGGGTCAGGTCACACACCAGAAGGACATGTGAGGAAACCAGCTGGGGCCAGGTCACACAAAGACCCAGTGACAAATCATCATCCGACCTACAGAGTGAAACCCATCCAAATAAACCTGAAACGTGGAGGACGAGAGGGGGGCGGTGGGGGTGCGGGCTTGCCCTGGGGGAGGTGAGGGCAATGCTGCAGAATGCCCGTGCGCGACTCGAGGGCCACTCCAGCAAGGCAGGAAGAGCCCGCGGGCTCCATAACAGTATCAGAGGCCGGAGAAGAAGACCCAGGAGTCCTGGGAAGGCCGGGTGGCGGCTCAGTGGTGAGCGCTGCCTAGCACCCGTGAGACCTCAGCACCACGTAAAAATAAATAAACAAAAATCAAGGTTTTGTGTCCATTTACAACTAAAAAAAAAAAAAAAAGCACAAAAACCTGCAATCCATGGGAAAACGGGAAGGTCGGGAGGGCTGTGGCCCCTGGGAACCTAAAACCACAGAATCGGCTCGACCAGTAGGCGCAACAGGCACAGGTGTCACTAAACCTGAGGGCAGTGGGAGGCAGTGAGTGGCGGGTGGCAGAGGCACGGCCCCGGCCTCCAGCCTCAGCCCACACCTGGGAGGTGCGCTGTGTGCCGGGGCAGCAGGGGACTCAGGGATGAGGGGTGGGGTGCTGACCATCTCTCTTCAGCACAGGGAGAGTGCCTGGTGCATCCAGCGACCACAGGGTCCTCGTGCGTGGGCACTACCTCACTGGTGCACTGTGCTAGGAAGGCTGTGCCCTGGCGTGGGCCACCGTGACCTCTGGGGGAGGCAGCTCTGCGGGTAGGGCCAGGCTTCCTGACTGCAGGTGGGCGCCAGGCTGCTCTGGCCTCTGGACGGCCTGGGGCTCGGGCTTGACCCAGAGCAAGTGGAACACTCAGGACACTTCTGAAGAATTCAGGACCCTCTTCTGCCCCCCCAACTCAGGTCAAGAGCCCCCACCAACTGGTCCCCCACAGGCCATGGCGTCTCCAGGCTCATGGAGGCCCTCCAGGCCCTGGTGGATGGGGCTGCAGAGGGGGCCAGGGCAGGCTCTGTGCAGGAGAGGGTGTGGCTCACTTGGGGCCCAGTGCAACCCCTCCCTGTTCCGCCCATCCCGGCTGAGGAAGGCTCGGTGGCTGACCTGCACTCTGCTGTGGGGTGAGCTTGCCAGAGAGGCTTCTGAGGACACCCTCTGTCCCTAAAATGTTCATTGCCCACGGCTCAGGTGATGCTGGGGCAGGGGTCCCAGCCCTGAGGCAAATGAACTCTAAGATGTGCCCAGCAAGGGCTGGCCCTCGAGCCCACAGGGCCTGCTCAAGGCTCTCCCTGGGCTTGTCGGAGTCTGGCAGGTGACATGGGGGGAAGGGGCATGGCGTTGGGGCTGACCCTCCAACCCTCAGGGAGAAGTGGGGCAGGCCCAAGGTTGGCAGGCAGCACCAGGACAGGTCCACTGGCTGCTGGCCCCCTGCACAAGTTGCTGCTGCCCTCTGCTGTCAGGAGGCTTCACTGGCCCAAGTTCCTAAGGGCTGTTTGCTAGAGCAGCCTGCAGGGCGAAGGTGCTGCAGATGGGACCAGGCGTCCACCAGCAGACCCATGCATGATGATTGACCGTGCACACCCCAGAGCCACAGTTACTGTCCTGCTCTGTGTGGGGAGGTCCTGGGAAGGGGGGATGGTCAGCAGCATGGGGACCCCCATTTGCACACTTCTCTGGGCAGTAGATGGGGGCTGCTCAGCTGACTGCAAGTTGGGTTGAGCTGGGAGCCAGTACCCAGTAGCATGGCCAGTAGCTGAGAACTTGGGCATTGGGAGCAGGCAGATCGACGTGGTCAAGGCCCAGCTATACCAGTGGGATGCCCTGGGCAGGTGCCGGCCCCACTGAACCTTGGGTTCCTCATAGAGCAACCAGGAAAGCTCCACACCTGGCTGAGAGGGGTTTGAAACAGTGAAGGTCCCCAGAGTCCCTCTCATGCCAAGCATCGTACAGGGTGCAGGGATGAGGTGGACACAGTCCTGCCTGGCTGCTGCTGGCCTGGCCAGCACAGATGCATGGCTTTGGATCAAACAGAAGGGGGCATGGAGGAAGAAAGGTGGGCCAGAGCCACCCTACCTGGAGGATTCTGGAAGGAGGCAGGCTCAGGGTGGGCCTATGCCAGTCTTGAGAGGGCAGGAGTTGGCAGAAAGGGCTGAGGGAGGCAGGGAGGCTCCCAGGGGCTGGGGGCAGGCAGCAGTCACCAGGGCACTGGCTGTACATGGGACTTGGATAGCGTTAGAGACAGTGGACTGTGAACGTGTTCAGTAAGTGGGGTGGCATGTGTCACTGGCAGAGCTGGTGACACTGGTGGAACAGTGTGGGGGTGTGGCTGAGGATAGGAGACAGTGGGGAGGGTCAAGAGGCTGGGAAAAGAAAACCTGGTGACCTGGAGAATGAGCTCACCATCAGGGAAGAAGCGGGTAGAGGGCCCTAAGGCGGGTGCCCACACACGGGCACAGGGGAGCCCTTCAAGGTGCTGACCTGAGTTGCCAACCACAGCCAAGGGCGTAGTGGGTGGGAAGGACAGGGCCCCAAGGAGCCTCCTCCTCTGTGCACCCGAGGGCAGGGTGCCACCTCTTGGTGAATGATTGTGGACCCAGCAGTGGAGGAGGGTCTCACATGGGTAGAGAGCAACCTGGAGCCTGGCAGGGGACCAGGGCAGCCCCAGAGGGTGTGTGGCAGCTGTTCCTAAAGGCCAGCTGGGGGAGGGTTTGGGGAGAGGGGACCTGGGGACAATGCCTAGGCTGAGACTCTGCAACCTGCACATGGTTTACCAGACTGGAGCTCTGGAGACAGCAAAGGCCAGCAGGACCTGTCAGCAGTGGGAGGGGCAGAGGGTGGGGAGGAGACGCAGTGCAGGGGAGCCACTCTGGGACCTGCCCTAGGAGGACCTGGGGGCTGAGGCCCTTGGGCAGGGGGTCTAGAGCTCTGGGGCTTAGAAGATATGGAGAGATGCAGGGGCATCCCTGTGCTCCCAGGGCTGGGGGACAGTGTCTTGGGGGCAGGAAGCAGGCTCCCTGGGGAAGTGGGAGGAGTCTGGGGCTAGTATAATGTCCGCAATGGCTGCTGGGGCTGTGTGGGGTAGAGGCAGCATCGCAGGTCCTGGCAGCACAGAGGGATTTCAGGGAGAGTGGGGCAGGGGCTTCAGGGGACACAAGGAGACTAATGGCACCTGTAGTGCTCCCTGTGGAAGGTTCCATCCCAGGGGATGGGCACATGTCAGAGCAAGGTCCTTGGTGTAGGTGGAGGCTGGCACAGGCCTTGTGTAATCCTAGGACTTGGCAGGGTAGCCAGTGCCCAACCCTGTGCCATGGGGGCAGCAGAGGCTAGAGAATCTGCTGCAGTCTGAGGCTTGTGCTGCTGCTGGTGGCAGGGCTTAGCCCAGGCTAAGCTCCCAGAGGGGCCACAGGACTGTATCTCCTGCCATTTCATGGGTGTGGAAACTGAGGCATGTGCGGGTGCTGGGGGGTCTGAGTTGGCCATCTTCTGTGTGCTGCAGCAGCAGTAGGGTGTAGGATGGGACAGGAGGGGACAGAGGGAAGCCTGCCTACACCTGGAGCCTGCCTTGGGTTTTTGGCCCCCACTTCCTGTCTGGCCTTTATGGAAAAAGGACCAAAGCCAGGCACCCTGGATGGAAGGATCCTTCCCCAGCCCGTGACCCTGGGATCCAGGGCCATATCCCCAGCCCCCCATGCCCAGCGGCCTTGGCCGTAGCCTCTGTGGTCCGTCTCCATGGGTAGGGCCTGTGAGCCACGACTCTGGGGACTTGTAACTCTCGTACATACCCAGGCCCAATAGCCCCTCACCCCTGAAGGTTGGGTGGGAAGGAAACAAGCAGAGGAGCCACCTGGGTGGTCGGCTGGTGACACCTCAGCGTTATTCCCGGAGTGATCACTGCGCCTCTGCAGGATGCCCAGAAAGACCGTTAGAATTGGTAGAAAAAGGGTGTATTTGTTTTCTAGGTAAATCCAGCTGGAAGGTACCCTCACCTGCCCAGCCGCAAAGCCATGGCCAGACTGTTCAGCCAAGCACCGCCTAGGCCTGCTCTGGGCCTGTGCAGGGCTTAGCTCTGGCAGAGTGGGCTGGAGGTGGTGCCCGCGGGGCGGTCACTTTGGGCCTCCACAAGCACGCGCGGCAACCTCCCAGTGCACTGCCAGGTGGCCCTTGCCCAGCTAGGTGCAAGCCCTTCTTTTCCCGGGCCTCGGGGGCGGGGCGCAGGGACCGAGCTCAGAGAACCAGGCCCGCGGCCAGCGCGCTGGTCACAGCGAAAGTCTTTATTGAGTGCCCGGGTCCACGCGGCGGGCTCATTTCACGTGCTCGGCGGCGTGCGATGAGCAGTAGTACTTTTTGTGCGCAATGAAGGTGGACAAGCTGCTGAACCTGATGTTGCACAGGCGGCAGTAGCGGTGGCTGGACGCCGCGGGCGCGGGCGGGCCCTTGCTGGGCGTCGTTGTGCCCAGGTCGGCGGGGTCCGCATTGGGAGCGGGCGGGGACGGAGAGCGCGGCGCTCGGCCCTCGGGGCTGTCCAGCGCGCTGGGCTCGGGCCGGGCCACGCGCAGGCCATGCGCCAGGCGCAGGTGTTCCAGCAGGTCGCCGCGGGCGCGC